TTGTCAAGAGAATAACTTTATGGACAAGAGTCTGTCTGCACCAGGCATGTAAACTTCAGCAAGGAAGAACCAAGAATTTTCAACAGCCTCTCAAATCTTCCATTTATTTGTACCAATAACATTGTGAGGAAAAGGTGCACAGAATTAGACGGCACGGATGTATGCATTTTTATAGTGTCCTTTTTTTTTCATTATACCTTTAGTTTACTTTCTTATGATTGAGATATTTTATATATTAGTGATTGTTCTGAAGGGCCATAAATGTATCTGCTATAATTTCATTCCCAAACTGAAAGACAGTAACTGCATACATGCACTGACACATAAACTGGTATTTCTAAGTTTCTAAGACATTCTGTCCATTTTGTGGTTGTAGGTATAAGGTTCCGGGTCGGAGTTTAATTAAGTGCGCAGTAAATCGCCGGAAACGTGACTTTGTATGGTATGTTTTGGCCACGATATCCCTAATATCGCAATAGCTGTGTACATATCTTTCTGTTTTCTGAAAAGCCTGTTAGTTGTAGCCTTTATAGGTGGCGTAATCTTGGTGGTCCAGCGGAGACTTCCAGATATTAGTCCGCGCGGATGATAGTGTAGCCTTTCCGCCTGATCACTGGGACGGTGCGTTCTACGTGTGTTGTGGGTGTGTTTGGGTCATCGAAGATAGCGGTAAACTTATCGCATCGATTTTAATTAAATTCTGACATCGGAAAGATTAGGTACCGGGCTTCTTCCAGTAGTAAGCCGTTACCCTGGGAAAATTCGTTTTTTCCATGCAGCCATGAGTGAAAAATGACGAAAAAAAGGACCCCTCACTTACAAATTTACTTTGATATGCCTTGTTTACCCCTAAATAAACTGGGCGCACAAAATATCAATCAAGTGTATTGATAAGCGGCACGGCACCCCTTTCCACCAAAAGAGTGAAAAATTTCGACCCGCGTTTAGTACAGAAATGACAGCCCGTCAGGCTGAGGGTGTCAAATTCACTACGAACACAGCAGAAAACTCCGGTCCGAGACCATAAATACATCTAGCTCAGAGTTTAAAGGACATCTTACAATCTGTGCAAATATGGCACTTCACCTTCACATAGTCCTTTCCTTATTATAGTACGTCTGAAAGGTTTTAATCTCAATATTATAAATGGTATGGTGAAGACTCGGGTAGTAGAAACATCAAATACGGTGAAATCCCTGGATACTATTTCGATTAGAAAATGGTGCATGTACAATGTGTGTCTGATCAAAGTATCAGCTTAAAGGTCTGTGGTGCCAACTTTGATGCCGATGTCAATAAATTTACAACAACAAGCACTCTTGGTGTGTATACATTCTTGTCTGATTTTACAGAAATAACATTGTAACTAACAAGGTAACATTTTCAAATGCATAATGTTTACCTTTGCATATAGTCTGCTCTGTTAATTCTTACTCAAATACATTCACATATATGGTGACAGGAGTCTAAATCTCTCTTACTCATGATAAAATTGCAACATGGTAGTCAATGACCAATATGTATATAGAGTGGAAACAGCCTAAACAGGTCCATAAATCATCTAATGAAAGTCTAAATAAGTACTTGTAAGTGCCTGGATTTTGTTGTTGGCTTGAGCATGACCGATGCTGAACCAATTCATGGTATGTAGGATCTAGGAGGGAGGTTTTGGCTGTCCAAGAATCACTGATCTGGATCCCTAGAGGAAAGAATATGTGGAAAGACAATGTCACTTATTTTTTTTAGAATGGTTTATTATCACGTAAATCACCTATATCACAACAGTCGCAGCCCGAAGGCTGAATTGATGAAGTTACAGAAACAGACTACAACACATGATTAAAAACATTTTCTACACAAGCTAAAATCAATAAGTTATTCATGGCAACAAGACATTAATATAATAATTTGTAGTCTGATCACATAGTTACTTAAATATCAGGTATCTTCATTTGTAAGTATGAGTCTACAGGTTTTGCTTACAAGATTTGACTTAGATATAGATGTATTGGTATGTTTTGGTGCTCTGTTCTCTAATTTGAATTCATGGTCTTTGGATTACGTACCCTTCTATATGTAGCATCAGGCCACTTGCCCCTCAGCACAGCCAGAACTTTCTCATCGCCACCTGGACCTGTCTTATTACGTCTGTAGTCAAACTCTGTCATCTTCGGACAGTGCTGCACAACTGCAATGGCTGTATTTTGAACACAACAACAACAACAACATCATCAGGAATGTCATGAAGTAAACATAGTTTCGCACAACCCATTTTCATCTTTTCTGTGCTAAGCAAATTCACATATGACCTTCAAGGCTGCTTTCTATTCATCACGTTATAATATTTCCTTAAGTTTTCGACGTTATCACAGATTACCACATGAATTGTAGAATTAGTAAAGCAATGAGGTTGGAAAAAATATGTATGTCCTTACCTATCTGAAGAACCTCCTCCAGACTAAGTCCGCATTTATACACCTTCAGAGCCTTCAGACTCCGCAAGGAACATGGCAGCTCGGCCAGACTCTTTCCACAACCTGCAAACCTGTTACCAGAGAGATACAACTCTTCAAGGTTCACCAACGTCTTCAAGGAAGGCAGTAAGACAAGTAAGTCTGAGCAGAGAAGAGAATTCCAAGACAGCACAAGCTTCCTCAGACCTGTCAGATGAGGCAGCTGTTGTGAAAGGCGGGCACAGGGTCCTGTGTTGGAGTCGTGACCTCCAAGACAGGCACTGCGAAGACTCAACTCAGACAAGTTCATCATCTTCAGGGTGTCCATTATAGGAACAACAAAGCATTGCCAGCTATTGACCAACCATAGACATGTTAGATTTCTAAGGGACTCAGACGGAATTTTCTTCAGAACATGTCCCAAGGCGTTGTAGACACGAGGTCCCACATCTGAGAACTGAATAAAACCTTTGGTGAGAAAGATGTTCTCGAACTGTGAGAGGCAACCACTTTCATAGAAGCATAACAGTGCAATTTCAAGGTATGTTTGGTAGCGAATGAAATTTAAATCAACATGGCTCTTAATCTCTTCCTCATTCCCTGTAGCCCGACATTTAGAATAAAGAGAAGGATTTACGTATTTGCAATCACTGGATGCATAAGACAAAGGCTCAACCTCCTGTTGGTAGATTTTGACAAGATGAGCCAATAGAACATCTGCCTCACACCCTAACTTTGCACAGGCAAAGACAACAACGTTTTCCAAGTCTCGCACACTTTGAGCCGTTCTTAGGTACGTGTTTAGAGTTGGCTGTTGTACTGGCTCACCCTGAAGCGTCTTGGCGAAATACAACCCTGCAAAATATTCCTGCATTGTCTTATGGGAGAAGGAAAACTGGTCAGAAGGGTTGAGTCTAGAGGGGCTTTCTTGTCTGTGAAGGATCCCTAACAATACAAGCACCTGTAAACTGTCTCCAGAACAATACCTGGCCACATCTTCTTTGTTGTATACGAGGTTATTCTGCAACAAACCATTGAAAGCAAGAGCACCAGCACACAAGAGTGCATCTCTGATGTTGTCTGGAATACCTTGATTAGAAGCAACGTTGTTCTTTGCGCAATGTCGCCTTATGATGAAGGAAACCAATTCATCATAAAGTGGACCGATTCTACCCCCTAGGACCATATCAGGATTCTCTTCCCACATTATGCATGTCAGCAAAAGCAGGATTGGCGTTGCTAGAATGCCTGAAGGAATAAGGGAGGAGTCCATCTTCTTTACTAAGGCTGCCGCCTTGCCCTGGTCTCCCTTGAAGAACTTGTGGATGTAAGTGCGGACGTTGTCCTGGCTGAACCCTGTGATCTCCACGCGTGTATCCGGACACATCAGACTGTGCAGCTGTGGGGTGTTTGAAGGTCTGGTGGTGACCAGTAGGGAGCACTCACGGAGAATCTTACCTGAGAGGAAGGAAGAGGATTGGCACCTATGTTGTTTTTTTTGGCAACGCCTCAGGGGGAGCCTAATGGTACAGAAATGTGTTCAGTTTGCAAGAATTCTAGGAATTGTACACAGTCAGGAATTTTATCCACAGGCAGGGAATGTCCACAGGAATGTCTCACAGCTCTGGAATTTTGCTGACACACATCTATGCCCACAATCCTGCTTAGTGAAATTCCTGTAGACCCTTGGGAAAAACTGTCTACAGGGATGTCTTACCTTTTGTGAGCCCCGGGGCTTGCCGAAAATCATGAAATCATGACAGTGGCATGCAAACAATAATCCTAACAACAACAACAACCACCGACGCCATGACAATGTATGTTTTCATTGTCTGCTTGTTACTCCGTGAAGGAGGTCAGGACCTCCGGACGGAGTGTTGTGATCGGCTGATTTTTCGTGTTCGTAGTCAAAACACTGGGTTCTCTTTGTGTAATCGGCACACAATTTTATACGCCGTCTGCGGGCATGCCCGTGTTGATGCACGAATGTGTATTTTTGCCGTTGCTGCTTTCGCGGTCAATGTAATATTGCAGACGCACCCCTACAATTACGAGGCGAATTGGAATGGTCCAGAAAAACGCGTTGTTTGGAATAGCAGTGGGGGGGGTGGAACTTCATGCAGATACGGGGTGGTTTTGATAAGTGGTTCCAGATGTTTTTGCCCATGGTTAAGAGATGCCAAGTTTTTTGGAAGATGTTCGCAGCCAAAACGCATTCTTCCGTACGTCGCATTTTTGTGTAATTTCGCATGTGGTGTGGCATTATGTCCGGGATGATGCACGTCTTTTTATTTTTACCGTAGCTGTTTTGATATTGGCGTAAATGGTTATTTTCGAAACATCCCCATGTCGTTGAAATGTTGTCGTCCGTTTATGTCACCGGTAGTAAGTCGCGGCGGGGCTGATGGGGACGGAAATGTGGGGTGGTCAGAGGTCAACATTAGGAAATGTTAATACCGATGACGTAATCCTATCGATTTCAAACTGGTCGGGTGTTGGCGACCTAGTGGCGGCGTGTATTTAGTCACGTAGCAACTGGCCGGTCGTCCTAGCAACGATACATGGCCAATATTTTTGGGTTGGGCCGCTCCATAGTGTTAGTGGAGCAGCTCTTTGTAAACATGGACAATATTTTTGAGCAACCCATAAATGTGTTCTGCCTCGTGGTCGGATGTGGTCTGGGGCTGGTAAACCGCACATACAGTACTAGTAGATCGGGTAATTTTATGATTTGCTAGTTGTAAAGGCGTCGTGTAGTATGAGCCGGTATATGAAGAAGTAGCCTGTGTTACACAATCATGCTTTCGGCCGGATTGATGTGCAATTGTTACTAATTGCAGGGACTGCGCTAATGCCGACCAGTCGCGCTGTCCTGATACACCGCGAATGTGCGAGTGTTCCCTGTAGACAGTCCCGGGAGTAATTTTTTTCGCACATTCCAGGAGCCAAACCAAAATACGTTCATGAACCGAGTCCAAAAAACCGAAACGTGAAAATCGGATGATCGGACCTGATGTACATTTCTCTTTCTATAGATTGTACACACAATACACACATCTTTAGATAATCTGGCCATGGCAGGTTAAAAAAAAGTAACCCTGAATCATACTAGATTAGCGTAAATGCATGTTTATGCGTTCAAAACAAGAAAAGAATTTGTTTCCCGGTATTAATCTCTTGAAACACGGCGCTGAATATTGACGCAAAAATATTTCGGGCATCGCGCGCCCTTCCCCGTTGTTTAGACTGTATGCAAATCCCGCGTCACGTGTCGGCATTTCGCATCTCTGATTGGTTGTTGCGTCTTAAGATGACTGAGCCGACGCGCGTTTAAACAATTTTTCTTTGTTCGATTTATCACACTTCACAGAGAATTGTCGCCAATGGCTACTTCTTTTTGTTGCAATATATAATACTTCACGGAGAATTGTCACCTATGGCTTCTTATTAAATTTTCTGCTGAGAACAGCATAACAACATTATAGTTTAACATGATGTCTTGCATAAAGTCATCCTCCATAGTTGGTTGTAATGTTGTAATGTATGGATTATGATGAAATACTGTAAAAGTGGAGTACAAAGGTTCCTACCTGTCAGGAGTTTGGTGACGTCATGTTCTTCGTGCTTGGACCACTCGTCGAAGCCATCTAGAATGATCAAGACTCTGTCATTCCCCTTCAAGTATGTTTCCAAGTCCGACTCTTGGAACGGCACATCTTCTGGCAGGAGTTGGTCGAAGATACACCCTGCGAGAGACTGGGACTCACCTACCTTCCGCAGCGCGATTGGGAAGACAAGATCATACTTTTCTAGAATTGGAGAACGTCCCTCTGACTCAGCCCAGTCAAAAGCGAGCTTTGAAACCTCTGTTGTCTTCCCTATCCCTGCGTTACCTTCGACAAGAATGCGCCGGGGCTGGGGACAGTCGGGCCTGGCGCTCAAGGCATCGACAGTCGAGGGGAGGGCACGTCGTTTAATGTTTCCTCCCTGCTGTGTACGAGTCACGAGATCTACAGTCGTAAAAACGTCCTGAATTTTCACGGTGTAGGTTTCGTTCCACGCTAGTGGGTGAAGGTAACTCATTCTTGTCTTGAAATATGCCCTGAGCGCGTCCTGACATTGAGCCAGTGGGAAATCTTCAGTAGGGCTGCCAATGCTGGGAACTGGAAAAGAAATACAGAAGTATGAAATAAAGTGAATAACAACAGACACACAGACACACAGACACACAGACACACACACACACACACACACACACACACACACACACACACACACACACACACACACACACACACATGCACGCACGCACGCACACACACACACACACACACACACTTTTAACAACTTGCCTCCTTTTTAAAAAGGTGCAAAATAAAGTAGAAAAGAATTACACAGTCTACACTGTGACATACATGTAGAATTTTTTTCCATGTACCCACCTGTGTTGGTATCATCTGATGTTCCGTGGAAGATGGTGACGGTGGAATTGGGGCCGATGTTGATAACTTTGTTGCCCTGGCCGCTCACTTGACTATGGCCTGCAATTTGGGTCACTGAGGTTTCTGTATATGACACAGGATTAGGCAAATGTATGGTGTGTTTCGACTTAGTATATGTATGAATCTCTTATTATGTTTACCGAAGGAAAACATATTGTTTTAAATTTGCTCTGTTTCTTCTTATTCTCCAGACCAAAAAGGCCAATGACAGTCTGTCACCATGGTAACTGGTGTTGGGTTTTAGCAGGAGGGATTTAGACTCCTGTCTGACCATATATGAATGTCTTTTGAGTAAAGTTAACAGATCAGACAGATCAGACCAAGCAGATCAGACATTATGTATTTGCTCTGCAAATGTTACCTTTCTAGTTTGTATTATGTTCAAATGACTGAATATTATTTCTTCTACCTGTTTCTGAGAATGCCACCACATCTTCGTCCTTGTAACATTCCTGCACATCCATGTGTCCAGTTTCTCTCTCCTGACCATCTAGGACCGTCATGTTACCGGACCCTTGACTCTGTTGAATGGCACTTGTGGCCCCTTCATCCCCAGTGCTGCATCCAGGGGTAGTGTCACTCGGGTTTTCTGCCTTTGGCGCTTTCTGGTCCATCTTGTTGAGAAATTTCTTTCAGTGGCTGTAGGTAAAACTAAAAATTAGTTTTTACTTTAGTCCACACCGATTCGATTTCTTGCAGTTGCTTCACAGATGTTTGTTAGCTTTAAATTAATGCAATTTTGCTCTGTAGTGTCGTGCGACTTCCTCCCGTGCACAGCCTAAGTAACTGCCAAGTGAAGCAATATACTGCAAATGTGCCGTATTTAAAGTACATGCAGTGAGCACCTTGCCGCTTAAGTTATCGCTAAAGCGACGGTCACAACCCGCCGTACGTGCTTCTGCGTGCTGTATACGTGCAAAAACGTGGGCAAACGTAGGACATCCGTGCGTGGTGAGTACCACCTCCGTACGGAATACTACGGATTTGGGAGCACGCAGACACGCCGTAGAACTTTAAGTGCATGTAAAACTTTTTCTACGTGCGGTCTGCGGATTCACCACCCGTGCGTGCGAGTACGAGAGACGCGCGTGCCCCGTACGTGCCGTGCGGAAGAAGCACGTGTGAGTACGGCCTCCTTACGGTAAAGTGGCAATCGCACAGAGATCGTACCTTGTAAGCACGTACAACTCACTTACCACTTGCGCAACGTACGATGCACGCAACCGCTCACGGCCAGACTTGGCGTGCAGACCACACTCTTACACTTTGTGCAACCGTGCGAGTGACGTGCGAGTGACGTGCGTAGACGCCACTCCTTCCCCACGTTTTCAGAAAAAACGTAGCAGACGTAGCCTCCCAAAAAACGTACGGACAAAAAGCACGCACGGCGGGTTGTGACCGTCGCTTAACGTTATATAATACGGGTAAAACAAACACCGGAAATCTGGTGGTGTACTTTCTGAACAATTCGTCAGTCCGCTAGCAAGGCTGGTCCACACGTAATAACCAACTAACCAAGAAATGGGTTCCCTTATGTTTGATCTCATAGGATTAACCACAACCATAGATTTTGAATTCTAAGGCAAATACATGTTGTGCCTTTCAAACAAAATGTTTTTGGCAGAGCAGGTAATGTCGAGAAGTTGCCTCTTCAACCCTTAATCCGATATCCATGCATCTACCCCCAACCGTTAACGTTGGTCTCTTGCAATTGTCCCTAAACGACTAGAGACTACATCAGCTTCTTTTATGTCTACTTTGGTGTGAATCTCACTAAAATGACTAAAAAATTACATTGGACGTAAAACGCCAAACAGTTTTGCGAAGTACTCACTCACCTTGTGGGCACTTTGATAGAAATTATTAAAAGGTAATGCCCGGAGTGAGGTTCACTGGAAGCAGCTTCACTCCAAGAGTTTCGCAAGAGAAAATATGTGCAAAAGGTACTGGTGATCCTTAGTGGTCTATCAGTCATGCGCAATTCTAAATCTTCCGACAATGTAACAGTAATGGCTGTCTACAAGAACCCAAGTGTCGCCATTTCTCCCTCTGGCGTCGTTTGACGTGGCAAAAACGCCCCAATACAAAGGTCACCTCCCGCTCCAAACTCCAAGTGCTTAGAACAATATGGGCAAAATCAAACAGACTTTGCTTGTTTAATACTACAGGGTAATCGATGACGACCATACTGACTAGTTACCTCCATGAAAAATGGAGGTATTGTTTTTGGCCTGTCTGTGTGTGTGTCTGTGTGTGTGTTTGTGTTTCCGCACATTTGTAGTCAGCATAACTTCATAACGCCTTTATGGATTATGATGATATTTGGTATGTTGGTAAGTCTTAGAAAGACAAAGGTCAAGGTCAATTATGGGCCACCTGGTGGATGACCTTGGTACTGCAGCAGAACTTCCGGTTTTTGCATCTTTTGTCCTGAACATGCTATGGTCTTGACTTTTTGGTCACAGATAGCTTTTCCTGTCAGGAATAAGTGGTATGAGTTTGGTATCCCTAGCAGCTTGTTCTGGAACTGCAGGGCACTTTCTGGCGAAATCTTTAAAAGCCAACAAGTCCAGGTAGGAACAACGTATTTTCATCATTTGTGGTGTGTAGGTAGCTAAGAGTTGTACATGATTAAATGCAAATTATGCAAATGATGACCTAATTTGCATAATTAATGAGAAAATACTATAATTACAGTGTTTTATGTAATAGTACTTTTATACATGTAATCTATTTAATATGTGGTAGGCAGAACATCAACAGACACCAATTATGCAAATGATTACCTAATTTGCATAATTAATGTGAAAATTATGTGACTCCTTAATGATGAATGGTGGGACTTTTATTCCATGTCACATGTGTAATTTACTTAAAGGTTAACACCACTATGCATATATCATGTTAATGTGGAGGTCATTTGCATAATTAATGAGGACATGTTGAAATGAAGTATGACATTGTAGAGGAATTTTACACGAAAAATATTGCCATTTGAATTTAGAAAGTCATAAATTAAACTAGATTATGCTAATTACGACCTCATTTCCATAGTCAATGAGACAAAAAAACAGTTACAAAAACTCATATTTCATGGAGGTGTGAGATCTCCGAATTCTTGTTACAAGCTGTTTTAGGTATGTTGAGAGATTGTTTGCAGAATTTTAAATGAACAGATTCGATTGGACAAGAGTTTGAGGTTTTTAAAGACCCCCAAATTTCTGATCCATAAAGCAAAATTCGAAAAGCTTGTTTTTAACGGACAATGGGGCGTCGGCTTTGTCAGTGAATTGTCTAACTCCAAACAAAGCTTTCAGCCCCTTACTATAAAGGTGTTTGTGGTTGGCTTTGAATGTACCCGCTGAGTTAACAATGATGCCTAAATAACAATAAGATGATACTGTTATGTCCCGAGACAGATGTGAACAACCTTATAAACATCTGGTAGCACCCCCCCACACACACACCGGCGGCTGTTGACATAATTACTTCCAGTACCAAGTACCTTGATCTACATTCAAAGCTAGCTAAATGTCAAACCTACATGTAAAAGTGCGATTGCAATCCCTTACAACACCACTAGAATTCCCAAATTCGAACTTAACCTTCTTTTCCCACATTACAAGCTACCTACAAAAAACTATAAAAAACATCCACAACATTAAAAGATATCCCGTCTAGTCACATTCCGTCATAAAAATGACCACAGCAGCCCCCCAAAAAAAGCAGCTATTTCGCACTCAAGGTAAAACAACAAGGGAAGATAAGAAAACAGAGAAAATAGGGACGGACAAAATGCGCTAGTGTAGAAATCATAACAAATCATGAGAAACGATCAGTCTGCAAAATAAAGTTGAAATTTCCATACAAAATTGTGGATGGATTGACCGGTAAGGCTTCATTTGTCAATCCATCCACATTTGTTTATTAATAACCTCAAAACAATTAATAACCCCAAACTTCTGAAATGTGCATAAATGATATCGACATACAGATTTGTAAAACACTACGTAATATTATGTATAAACAATGCATTTCAGATACATGTAATCATTAGTATATCATAAGTTGCCCACCTTTTAACACGCTTAAATGCATGTTAAGGTGTTCGTAACGATTGTGTAATGACGTTTGTTGTTTGAATAGATATGTAATAGCTTTTTTAAGTTCTTTGTACACTATCTTGGCCTTCCTAATTTTTTTTTCAAATATTCTTTTCTAAAAAAGACAGAACTGTTACAGATCCAGTACGATGTAGAAAAAAAATCCTCATTATGAGTTCATTACCTCCGGGTAGGGATGTATCCCGTGCGCGGAGGTTTTGTGGGGGAAGATGAAAATTACGTTCGCAGCCGTTTCTCGCGTTTGGGTGGACGGATATGTCTGGGACTTGGTATACGTTTTGCTATTGGGCTGTAGATGGTGCACGTTGTTTTGGTTTTTTAGTATGTGTGTTTTAGTGCTTGAAAATGATGGGTTTAGACCGCCGATGGACACCCCTTTCAGTGTGAAAGTGGACCTCAACTTTTGACCTTTGCATGTATAAGGACCATTGAGGTCTCGACCACTGATCTGACCTTTCACACAGAGGGGTGTCAGCATTCTCGATAAATTCTTTCTTTGAAACTGTTCAGATGTGAACCACATGTGCCGTCAATCAACGTCTCATTATCGTGCCTGGTGGGACCGGCTGGGGGGATAGGAAGTCTGCACATTGCATTTGGAGGGTACTTTAGTACGCGTTCACACTTCCGGGTACCGCGGGTTATTTTTATCTGGCTCGAACATCAAAAAGGGCGCATAGAAATTGTCCCGAAACGGTGTACACAATCTACGTTAGGTAATGTACAATCCCTATCACCTGGCGCTGAAACGTCGCTCATGACAGCACCGGGGTGAAAACATGACAACGAGAAATGACAATCATCACACAAGGTCTCTGCAATACGCTGGTCAACTATGCTGGACACTGAGCGAGGCGCTCTCGCTGCTACATCTGGAAACAATGAACACTGCCCCGGAAACGCCGGCAGGCCGGCCGTGTCTGAAACAGGGCGTGCTATTCACACTGATATCTAAACAAACACATGGCGGCGACGACCTGGATCTGACAAACACTCTCACCATTCTGTAACTCGTGAGCATCTGTAGTACTAGTA